TATGTATGTATGTTCTAGTATGTGTTTCCCGCGCTTTAATCGGCGTGGCAATTCACGTGCGCATTCGCTTTTCACGGGCCATACACTGAGCGCACGGTGTTATTCGATCGTTACTGCGGCTAGCAGCAAACCACGTTATTGTTTTTGCCGAAAGGTTGACTGGTATCCGGCCTCACGCTCTGCTAGACAATGTACACACGCACGCTCTGCGAAAAACAGTGCGGCCGCGAACCAGTCTAGCCAGAGGTGACCTTTCAGTGCAATATATATGACCAATTCTAACACGACCAGTCGGGCTACTAGCACTCTGGTTGTATGCGACCGGACCAAGCATTTACCCGACTAGGTCGGTCGGACGTGGGTTAGTGTCGAACCCTGCCTTTAACATGCACATCTGCAGATTACATATAAATACTAATATACAAGCCACATAGATATATAAAAAAGGTTAATCTGTTTACGGCAAAAATAATATTACATATATGAAGGTAAAATATTTATTCCAAATGAACACTTGCGACTAATCAATCAACACCATTTAAAACACATGTACACAAACGTGCATGAGTTCCACCAAAAAGTGCCATTTACTGATCAAATTATCCTTATATGTCATATTACTACCCAACACAACAAAAGACTCCATCTAAATTCATTTACAAATCCCAGAGAAAAATACTTTATAACCATATTTATAGTAGGTAATGGCCTATTGGCAATCTGCCAAAAGATCAGGTGTGTTAGACAGTATATGTGGTGAATCTTTCATGATGGCTATGTTGCATTTCAATAACTAATTTATCGAACTACTAAATTATTATAAAATTACTACGGATATATACCATTAATTTGTATATAATTTTAAAAAGGCTACCCAGACAAGATTTTCAAGTGACTATTCAGAGGTACATTTACTTATTGCAACAACCAGTATGCTGTATACAGAAATGACTACATTACAGGGGTAATTTTACAACCATACACATTTAGCTTGTAAAGAAGACGTACATCGTAAATTTACACAAAATTTAGTATGGTAAATACCAATAAAAGATGTCAAATTGCTGTGAAATTCTTGAAATATAATCCCAAAACACCCTTTACCAGTCAGTGTTTACATCGTGATTACAGCTCAACCTTGGAACGTTGGCCGTTTCTGTTAACGAAATTTTAACTTATACTGAACGTATTGCACGTACCAACTTGACCCATGCTTTTAGACATGTAACCTTCTGTAAATATTGCCTGCCAGGGTCAACAAGATAGAATTTGACACAGATTTTTTCGTAAATGGCGCACATACCTGGGAAAACTAATTACGTATTCACGAGTATTTTACCGGCTTCGTGAAGAAATTAGGGATTTCGGACTGCTACAGTAATTTAGAGTAATATGTTGGCTTTCAATATGGACTAGGGTAAACAACACTTTGTTGAACGGTTAAGTAGTATTTTGATCAAATTTAAGTGGTATACATACCATTTGGCGCCATGGTTGTGGCGAAAATTTTGTCCATTTTCGGTCACGTGACACACGCCAGTAGATCTCGCGAGAAAACCGCTGCCACCTGTCGGGATCTGAACGAACTGCTCGTATAGCAATGATCAAATACGCGTATTATGTAGATTTTATAAGCACTTAGGTTATGAATCACTATATTTGCTCATCATTTATTACGACCATTTTATGTTGGTATGTTTTAACATTGTAAACAACATTTTAAAGTTATTTTACTGTAGAATGAAAATATAGGAAGTGCATGACCTTTCCTACCATAGACAGTACCGCCATCTGTAGTCAATTATTTGCAGTATTAGTTATCGTCGTAGTGGCTGGAAATTTTATTTATGTATAAATTATGATCTTTTCTGCACAATCCTAATTAGAATTTATGCTATGTGTGCTCTCTGTGCTGTGATATTGGCCCGCTGCCTTCAAAGTAGTAGAAGTACTAGTGGCAAGTGCCGGCGGTTGTACTATTACTATTAGTATTAGAAAATTGCAAATTAATTGTGTAATTAATAATTGGCCCATTCCTATTTGACAACCCCAGGTTTAAAAACCCTAACCTAACCCTAACCTAACCCTAACCCTAACCAAACTCACGACATGGGTGTGTAAACGCTACGTTAAAATTGTGGGACATGTCTTCTAGACTAGGGCCAAAACCCCTGCACTACTACGATAAACCACTACCCACAGTGCTACACTACCCACTACGGTAGCCACATTATCAGCAAGTGGTCACAGGTCACTGTACTCTGTAGCCTGAGTGTGGATTGCAATCACTTTTTTTTGTAACTTCATCTGGCGTAGGCATAGAAATTAGAAACTAAGAAAGCACTTATACTTATATGCTTAATATTATAGTTACATAATCAGTTAATATTAGTAGGCTCTGGAACTAAGATGCGACGCGATTGCCTGCGACTGATTTTCTGCAACTGGTTGCAATTCGCTGCGACGATAGCGTCGCAGGGGCAGTTCGACCTAAGCACCCCTGCGACTGCCAGCGACGGGTCTGCGATGCTCAGCGACTAGAAAATTGTTAGTTGCAGCGAGTAGTGCATGTTCTACTTTTGCGACGCGACGCGACTAGTTTCCCTGTCGCTTGCATCGTTTTACCTGACGTAAGCTGCCTTGCAATCACAGTGACATGCACTGATTGTTTCATTGGAATTGTTCGCTTTTATGCATTGTTCATTATGCATACGAATCTTGTCACAGTGATTGCAAGGCAGCTACTTTAATGAACAAGGCCATAATAGCAAAACTGAATATCCTAATTAGAAATGCACATGCTATTGGAAATGAAAGTGTCAATGACACTATAGCTCACCTTGGGTGTGATAGAAGATCGAGGGAGATTGATATCTAAAATTTGGTAAGTGTTTCATTTATGATGGACCGAAATGTGATCAAATGTCCTTATTCCCTGTTTTATACTAATAGAAATTTCACTGTTTTGCTTCACGGTTAGTTTTGATGCGAAAATAAATGTTTCAGATCTGAAAGTATGAAATCTGGGCGAGAGATGGCGCTACGCCTAAATGATTGCCATTTTGGTTTTCAATTATTGCGCAAATAAAAGCAATAAATTATTCCAGTCAAATTACTGTAACGAAGAATCTAAAACAATACAACACGTACAGGTATGATTAGGTAGGTAGGTAAATTTAACAAAATCGAATGAATCTAGATGGCCATTTTCATTTTTGCCAAAAAGTGGGCGTGGCTCGAAAGTAGGTCGACTGGCGTGCTCCAAAATAGGACGTGCAAATCTCTCCCATGGGAGTAACAACTGTATGCAATTTGAAACATGTGGGTCAAACAGTTCTCAAGTTATCGTTGACCGTAGCCAAATGTTGACGAACGGACGGACGTACGACGGACAACGCCCCATACAATGGCAATAGCTCATCTTGACGATGTCAATGTGAGCTAAAAACGGCAGTCCCTACACCGATTACGTCAAGCTGTGCCAGCTTGACAAGACCAAGGGGTTAGATGTCGGCAGCACTTACCTCACCGACAAGGCCTGCCAGATGTTCATTACGGCGATAGCCGATACAAGGTGCCGGGAACAACAATTGTTTTCTTATGATCCATATCAGTTACGTATATTTTATACAATTGAATGTCTTTTACAAAACCTTTCTGGGGAAAACCCCTTGTACCCTGGGGAAGACCCCCTGTACCCCCTAGCAGAAGGGGGGCTCTACCCTCCTACCATTTATGTGTAACACCATCACTCGCCCACATCTCAGACTTTCAAATCTCAAACATATATTTTCACATAAAAATTTACACATATAATTATCAAGAGTATATAATGGGAGTTCTCCCATATATACTCTTCGTTCCTATAATGTACGTCGATGGTTGCTCAAATAAAACTGACTTCTTCTCACTCACTCATTTGTGTCCTTTTTTGTGGTGAGCTACAGTGTCATTGACACTTTCATCTTAGTTTCTTTGCTAGTGTAATTTACACACGAACGCACGCACACACACAATTTCCAAGGAGCGAAATACTTGTAATTTTCTACGGTGAAACAAGCCCTGTAATGACACTGTGATCAGTATATATGTGCTTTATATAAGGTGTACTGTCGCAGCTGGTGTGATGGCTGCCTACCAATCGTAAAAACTAAAACAGAAACCAGTCAGCTTTAAATTCTCCCTAACACCACGTGTCATTTGTGTTCAATAAACATACCGTTTGGCTAAATTATGGGGGTATGCGTCTGAGTTGACATTGATGTGCTAAAGCCAACGCATTTATTTTCTCGGCTTTGTTTTCTTGTTTTATCATTCATATGGGCTACGGCATAGACCACTATGCTGCAAAGATTCTCAACTGTGTTCGTTCATACTTGGCTGTGTGGCCCTGTGTTAGAGCAAAATGCTACATGGATAGACCTATATCACTTCTGTTGACACCCCGTGAACATTAGGTAGCACTATCTGTGTTACAACAGACCAAGGCAGACACACACAAGTTATTGATGTCTATATCATAAGACATCCTATTATCAATATCTAGACAGCCTACTGACCAATGAACGAATCAGTAGCTCAAACGAGATTCCGCGCCGGCCATGCTTGGAACATTACATTACTGGCAGAACTGTAGAATATCTGATCATAGCTATTTCAAACAGCGATCAAAATGCGGGTACAGAAGCTGGCACGAACAGTTTGGTACGCAATGTTTTTGCTATCCACTGTGGGAATCCCACAAACAGAGAATCAAAGGAAAAAAGGAATCTCGTTCCAATAAAGTAGCGCTATAAGGCTATGGGCAAAATGTGACTATATATTATTAATTATAAAAAATGACTGTATTATCCGCCATGTATTGTAAACACATGGCTGATAGCAACAGGCTAACACAAGTTTCCATGCAATTCCCCATGGAATTCGACCTTCCCTATCGTGATGTTAATAATGTGTCCCATGTCTAAGGTTAAATCAGTGCAATAGACTGCAGTTAAACGGTAGGCTACTAAGAGTGTAAAATGCATAGAAATCTAACTAACATATATAAATTATATGATGGGCATGTCTATACTGTAAAATGATCACTTTTCATATTCATGAAAAACACACCAATGCCAGCCACAGACAGACGCCATTGGCTATCAGTGGCAATTGGCCTAATATGTGTTTGGGGGCTTAGTCTGTTAGTAGGTTCGGTGTTCCTAGCAAGCTACTATTTGAGTACTGTAATGTATTTAAAAAAAATACTTTATAATCAACAATTCTTATATTTTTTTCACCAGACAAATGTGAATGTAGGCACAATATTTAGTGGTGATGTGAAAATTTCATGAAGCTTTGTACTACTAGCGATAATTGCGCTATGGCAATGTTTGATTAACCACTATCAGGGCCCTGATTATTAGTAATCTCATACTCCATCCATCACAAGGTGGCACCACGCGAACTCATCTTTATCGACTAACATTTACGGTCAGACACCCCTTACGCTTCACCACTCCTCCTCCCAAACCCTGAATAGTGAGCCTGAGGCATCCTAGGTAATCTTTGCCCACCATCTACCTTTCATGTTAATAATTTACAGGTTCTGTTTAATTGTTTTTTAACTGCTCGCTAGCTACACCACATCCGGCCATATCCGCGCATGACTCACATCGCCATCGCCTGTTCTATTCAAGCGTTCCCCAAATACACCGCGAACAAGAAAGCTCAATCATTCAACCAGAGAATCGGTGAGGGCCTGCCGCCGGGGCAGGAAGTTGTCCAGCCAGCGGATCGCTACCTATGTGTGGCAGTGAACATTTCCTGGAATCGGACCTGGACATAAGACGGACAGACCACCGCGTACCAGAAAGAAAATGCTTCCCTTCAGTGTTTGATCTTGCGCCAGATGCCATCTCCCATGTAGATCATGCAGCTGTTACAAAAGTGTTTTCTTTGTATAATAAGGCATACTAAGTTTAAAGATAATAGCCAAATATATGATTTTCTCTTATCCTAACATCGTGCAGACTATTTTTTTCTATTTAAACAGCTTGTCTAAAAAAAGTGCCACTTCCTCAATACCATGATTATGTATATATTACTAGTAGTAGAGAGACAAATGAGGTACATGTGTATATCTCAGTAGCACATCCATAGGAATTCAGTTAGGGGCTCTCTTTACAGGCGAAGAAAGTGCCCATTGGTAAAAAAGAATTGCAAGCAGAAAGGTTGGCGAGGATTGATGACAGCAACTGGAACATTTCCGAGAGCCACACAAACTAGTGCTGGCGTTTCTTTGGTATGTTACTATTTTAAAAACCTGTTTATAATTTAGTACAACTCATTATATTTATTCTCATAGCCTGGGTAAGTGGTACTGAAGATCATTTAGTGTCTGACAGCATCTCGCCTGCATACATGACTGAGCGTAATTTGTTTTTATAGTGAAAGGACACATAGGTGTACATGATGGCGGTTTGGCTATTTGTCGATCCAATCACAATATGCTGATTGATAAATAATTGACACATTTCTTATTTATGTAGCGAACACAGTTAAGGCACTGACAGTCCTTTCAATTGGCACAGTTTTTTTTTAAAGTTTAGACACAACATAATTCATATGATAATGTTGATATTCATCAGTAATGATCCTAATTATTTTGAACGAGCAATGTGACTTTGCCATTATTGATGTGTGTACATGTATAAATAATGTGTTGATGCATAATCAGTAAAATCTGACATTTATTTTCGAAAAATTTGGCAGAAAGACGGGCTTCTTTTGTATGATTTGTCACATCCCAGTCTCATGGCTGGTGGCATGACTTGTTTAGAAGGTGACACCATCCAGAAATACGTCGCTGACCTTACAAGTTTGAGCCAAGACCACTTGCAGTTGTTTTTTCACCAGTTCACAGATTGTGTAAGTTTAACTGTTATTTTACTTTTAAGTAACAGTACAATTGCACTGTCCTTACAATGTACATTAAACATGGGCAAGGAATTTAAACAGTTTCGATAGCATAAAAGAGCTTCTAATGCTTCGTAATAACAATAAAGCTTGAACCATGTTTTATGCACTGTATTAAGCATTGTGCCTCGGATTTGGCATGTTATACAGCGTGATGGAACAACAACGCCCAATGTTGTGGCAGTTTGGTGTCAAGCTTTTCGAAAGCTGGCTGGCAAGGATGAGCTGTGTTTGCCACAGCTGGCACCAACAAGGGAAAATGTGACATCACAGGGATGAACAGGTGGTTGCTTTTCTGACGCCAACACAGACCTGTACACACCGACCGCACACTCTCAGCGCTTTGAGAGGGAAGAGGAGGAATTGCCCTGTGAGGAGTCCAGTGGAGAGTGCCGCGATCACACATCAGCAGCAGGCAATCACTAACATTGTGGTGTACAATAGGCTGGGTATGTCCCGCGCAAGCTGCTACGTGTTGTCAGAGTGTGAGCCATGCCGTGCTTCACTGTGAAGGCAGGCTGACACCAAGCAAACCTGACATCTTACAAGTTTATTCATCTGCGTGACAATGGCGCCTTGGTGTACAGCATACTAAGGACTAGCCATCTCTTTGTTTGTCGGCTGAGCGTTGCTTCGGGGTCTCACTGGCACAGAGGAGAGACACGAACAACAGCTAACAATTGCAAGGTGCTTGGAATTGTTGGCCAACTATTCTTTTGGAACTAGGTAAGAGCATGGGTACATCGCCAGACAGGCACAATGGTGTGGAAAACTTGATTCTTCGACTTGGTTTCGTTCGAGTGTTCGTATACTTCCATGACAATTCAGCATGTTCACATGGTCAAACAATATAACTGTCATTAAAAGGCAAAATGTTCGTCACCACCTTAATAAAACGTACTGTTTCATAGGCCAGTAAAGGCGGAGCCGAGCGGTGCTCAGTGCGCTTCGGTGTGCCGAGCGGAGGTCCCCGGGGTTCGTCCTGGTCCCTGCCAGCATGAAGGTTCAGCAAGTCAACTCAGCTTCTTCACATCTTCTCCATCTCATTTCATCGGACTTGGTTGTCTTAAACTGTTTCTTGAGTCGTGACGTTCAAGAAGCCAGCCATCATGCATATTGGGCCAGTAAAATTGATCATCCATCATGTGTGGTATATATATATTATATAGGTTGGTATTAAATGTCTACATTAAATTCATCTTATAGTATACGGCTTTATAGGCTTTATTTTACTATTTTATAGTAAAAGGTTTATAATGAATGTATTGTCTATACATATGGTGATTGTTGGACAACTCAAGCTGTGATGATTATGTTGCGACAGATGTTAGTACAGTGTACAGTGAAATAAACTAATATTTAAAAGAAAACATTTTGTTGCTTTTGTGTGTGTGGGGAATTAGCTAATTAGATTAGCAAGGGAAGTAAATCCCACAGTATACATTGTTCAAACACACATACCACACTGTAAGCAATATTTATTTCACATAGCAATAACCTGGATGACTTGTTTAAAAAATGAATAGTTTTGCCAAGCTCTTACACATACACATTCATGGGAATCGAGTAGCATTGTTATGTACAATACATGCAAAATTACACTGGCCCGCTGATAAATTATGTTGTCGAATGGGTAGGCACATGTATCAATGCACAGGCCGTAGCCAGGGGGGGTTGGGGGTTCGCAACGAACCCCCCCCTGCAGCGACTCCCCTCAAGCAAATTTTTTTTTAAATTTGCAAGATCTTCACTACAGTCGTCCATATTTAGTGTAATACATTGGCATAAATTCTATCGTGCGGGAGGTGAACAGTGAACACCCCCCTCCACACCCGTCCCCCTTCGCTCGGCTTACGCTTGGCTCCCAATCGCCTGGTCGCTTCGCGCCGGGAGCAGGGGCGTGTACGGGGGGTCCAGGAGTCCGGACGCCCCCGCTTGCTCGCGTCAGAAAACCGATACTGAGGGGGGTGTAATTTAAAAAATTCTGGGAGGGGCCCAGACCACCCCTTCACGCGTTGCTCGCGAACTTTGGGTGTACCGTTAGACCCCCCCTGGTACAAATCTGTAACACGCCCTGCCGAGCAAATTGCCAACATTGAAAAACGAACCCCCCCGCCCAATATAAAGCTGGCTACGGGCCTGCATGACTATATATATCCATACCACATGCGTATATTTAGGCCTATATTCTCTAGCTTATCGTCTTACTTCACTTGAATGATTATTGTTTTATTTATTAGTCATTTTTTGACAAGTGTGTAATTCCTCAACAAAAATTAAAAGCATGACAGTCAAGTCTTATTCGATGCAGCGATCGACAGCGAGTCATCAACACACACACATGTACATTAATGTGCATCTGTTTACTTACATGCTGTAGTGTTTCAATATGGCCACCGTATTTCGCGTCATGATTGGGCAACGGCCGTTCTAGTGTTAGTTAGATTTCTATGGTCTATATCGGCACAGGTCATCGTTATTTTAGGATTCACTAGCAATAGTGTTTAAAAACATATTACACTTATCAAATTCACTTATAATTGCAGTGAACTATTCATTAGCATGAAAAATAGTCATTAAACCTATATTAAAGTTATCCTTCTAGTTTAATGTGAAATAATCAAATGCGTCATTGTAATGAAAATTTTAGCATTAAAATTATTTCGAGTTGCCTTATAATGTAAATGCCGAATGTATACTAATGCAATCAATAATAAAAGTAGTAGCTATACATATGTACAATTTTACTATTACTACTTGGATTTATACTATATATACTACTATATTACTAGTATACATTGGACTGTACGTAATCCATAGGAAAAGATATCGATTAAAAACATCGTACAACGCACCTTTTACCCTTGGCCACTATTTTCAAACTGAAGACGACCTTCGCTTGCTATTTCTCTAGAGTAGAAAGGACGTAGGCGATACTACTTTAATTTGTTTTGTAATTGTGATTGCTTGGTGGTGATCTTATATATTGTTTAATTTCTGTACAAATCAATAAGCAGTATGCTGCGTACTCGCCATGTATATTCATTGTGACGTTTATTCATGCTAATACTGCATAGCTCATATGCCTATGGCTTGTATATAAGCAAAATAAATATAAAAATAAAACAAGGATTGAAAGATAAACGTAATGCATAATATAGGTTTTTACTCGATATTATATATTAACGAGATACAAAGTTTATGTCTGCAAGTTTGCAGTCACATTCCATGAGTAATTAAAAAATAATTGGGTCAATAAGTCAATATATCTATAATACTAGGATTTAAAATACAATAAACATATTTAAATTTATAGGATTACAAATATCCCACTCATGATGATATTATCAGACCTTACATAAAAAAACAACCTAGGACTGTACAATTATTTTTTTACAATACAAGAAGATTAATACAAATTTCTGAAGATATATAATTTGTCATTGATATAGAAGCTTAATTACTCCTGGTCAATACTCCTCGGGTATATATGACCAATGGGTGTATGACTCCACTGAATGGGATTGTCACTTACACAATTTAGACCCCATGTCAAGACGTGACAATCGTGATACTGAAATAAGCACTTGGCTAAAACACTAACCAAACCTACAAGGTTTTTTAACTTGCATGAAATTTAATTTATCTCCCTTGACATGATTTATAGTGACATAAATACTACATTTCTAATCAAACTCGGGTTTTCATTTGAGGCCGTAGATATTTGAGCGAGCATCGGAAAACTTGCATGGTTTTTCTACAGTTGTATATAGATGACGACGTGTGTCTAATATAGCTCCTTGGATTTTATATTCGACCTAGCATTAGAGATCGTGCGACCTACTGGACGCAGTAATACTACTGTACTAACCTATCCGATACAATAAAACCCTAAAGAAAAACCCCCACGGACATTTAAAATAATCATTGACAAGTATCGATTGTTATTGTAACAATATCTTGTAAAGGCCAAATTTTATTACAAAAGGGAGCTGTAACAATATGCACGTGGTTCATTACTGCATGTGCTGCCACATATTTTGTTACTTTGTTATATATTTGAGCGCGAGCTCACTGTTACCGAGTGGCGTTTCCTTGTACATTACCTTTAAGTAGAGAGCATAATAAATGTGTTGCAGTGTAACACTAGCCGTTCGTCGTATGTAATACCTGTCCGAGAGTCGCAGAAGTGATACAGTTATCTGAGGTAACCAGTCCTTTTGGGAAGTACGGTTGAATAATAACTGGCGATGACCTGGGTATTCCATTGTTCACCATGCGCCCTCTTCTGGCCGATGTGAGTGATTGCAGAAGTCGTCCATACTATGCTGAGTTGCTATTAATGTTACTATCCAAAACATTCTACTACTAGATTAATTCTCTAAACCACGAACCTGACCATAATTACATTGCAAGCACATCTTACTATTTGTATAATTCTATTACTAGATTCATTAGCCGCGTTCACACGGAGCGAAAACTCCGGGTCGAAAACGATCCGAGACTGACACGGGTCGATTTTGAAGAGCGCGTTGGCACGACGTTTGATTGATCAGTTCTAGGACATATGCCTCTATGCTATGCGAGCTTCGAGCACAATGCGTCCAAGCGAACAATCAAGCGAACAATGCAAATTAAACAATCATGCATAGCAACAACTCATGTAAACTCTGGCTCTCGACGTCTACCGCCATACTACTGTCCCGGGTCGTGTGTCGGTACGCGTTCACATGGCAAAAATGAACCAGCGCTCGGGTCGAAATGACACGAGTCGTTTTCGTACCGAGAAAACGTCCGTGTGAACGCTTGGCCCGGGACGCATTTGACCCTGGTCGTTTTCGACCCAGATCAAATTGCTCCGTGTGAACGCGGCTATTCTCTAAACAGTGATTCAGACCATAATTACATTACACGCAGATCCAGGGGCTGTAGGATCAGGTCAGGAATGGTCAGATTAAAGGTCAGGATCTGACATTTAATGATGGCAGGCTCAATTTTACCAGTGCATGGCAAAATTGTTTTAGTTACAAAAGAGTAAAGTACTGCCTAATAGAAAATACATCATCAGAATCCACTTACATCAAATATCAATTTAACAACAAAATGACTACCTTTTGTACATCTTATTTAGACCCTACCTAAAGTATACCTAAGCTTCATGTAAACCTGACAATGACTCCATGGCCACATATGGCACCATAAACGCAAGTACAATAACAAATATGTTGCTGATAATGAGTAGTACTACTCGTATCATACTGAAAATTACCTGATTTGGCGACTGTATGAATGAACGCGAGTCAATCGTAAATCCTCACAACCAAACCACTCCATATTCAATGCAACACCAGTCCAATTAAAAAGACTTAAAACATTCAATCTTCCCCTAATAGTAACTTACTAGCATAGATAATAAATACTGTATCCTCTTGTACACTGACTATACTGGTAAATTACTAAAAGTAAGGGATTACAATTAAACTAGTACCCGTACTAATATATAAGTTACCGTGATGTTACATATGATACTGCCGTTGAGAAGTTTTAGTATTATAGCCTGTATAGCCTCACAGGCCAATCGGTTTTATTGTTGATACATTAACATAAAATCGCAAACAATCGATGCAGCATTTCAAAATGATGATGTGGAGTTTGTTGACCCTAGTGGATGAAAGAGCCACAGGAATGCTGATGTAGAGAGATGGTAGACGTGATATTACAGTATAGCTCTCATTCTCATACCTGTACCACGAGAGCGAAGGCCAGAAGAAGGTATAGACCAGCAGATCGTAATGGATAAATTCCACTAGTTTCACCATCTAAAAGTCAACAAGATATAGTAATGATTGGCAGCCCTAATATGTCAAATAAATTACATTGATACAAAGAATGCTGCTGAAAATATATGCTAATAATAATAAGATTTTCTGATATCTAATACAACACCAACTATATTTCCAAGGCATATAGGATACAGACAAAAGTACTACAACTGAAGTGGCTATATTCGATAGAAACTGTGCAATAACACTTTACATTGATGATTGTTATACTCACTACAGTTGTTGAATAACATAAAAATACAAGATGATGTTTTAGGATGGAGTTAATCCATTTGCACTAAAATTTGTCACAAATATGATTGTATATCATAAGTTTTAGAAGCTATTCTTACACAGGAAATATCTCCACTTGTAGCGAAAGGCGTGCTTTCTGCCACTGTCGGTGTTAGCAGGTGTATGGCTAAGCGAGAGGTACCGGATTGCTAGTTCTTCGGTTGCACCGATCACCTCTTTCTTGATGGATACTGAACTGTTGTAGTTCTGAAGTGTGAATCCCTTTAAAAGAAATATTCCGTAACCCATAACAGGCAAAGTGTGTGCATTTCTAGCATGTTTTTGCCATCAATGTTTAAACAAATTGATTTGCAAAGCACAGTTATTGAAATCTGAAAGAAGAAAAATAGTTCAAAACTGCCCAGCTTAGTGCAATGGCATTGCGTGCATTGATAGTAGTTTGATCGTAATTGCATGCTTTGCTATTCTTTTGTTAACATAAAGTCAAAAAACATGAAGCTAGTGTTTCTGGTGAAATGCCAGCAAGTGCTTAATTGAAAGTTTAATCTATGTACTGTGAAAGTTTAGGCTTCTTTGCCGCCAATGACAATAGCCTTGTTCTCCGAATGAAATGCTTGTCATTGAACATTGCAGTCATAGTTTTCCTAATTGTGGAATATTCTAGGAATGTAACCCGTGACAGGCAATTATGAACTACCAGTACTGTTGCAAACCTGCTGCCAATGTATTTGCACCATAGTGGTGGTTTAACAAAGTTTCGCCAAAAGGGTCCAATCTCAGTAGTGTGGACTTTACATTCACCACCGTAATTAATCAAGATTTTACTACACTTAATTACCTCCAGACAGATATCTTTACTGTGTAAACATTCTCCTTCTGTTTGCAAAAAACCGTATAAATCGTCCTCAAACATCGAGTCATTAAACTGATAGCCTCCCCACCATGCGTCGGCACCTAGTAAGAACAGGCACATTCAGAAATAATCATTACAGATTTTCTATTCTGATGAATGACATTCGACAATTTAGTTTACAAGTATTTTGCTAGAGAAGCTACTTAAAAGTCCATCTTTCCAGCACCAAAAAAATGCAAAGATCCAGTTAAAATCAGCAGCTGCCATGTATAATAACTACGAATCTACTAGCACCTACTTACTCCTGAATTCTAGAAGATCGGAGCTGGGAGGTGAAGGGAAATAAGTATCGAGCTCTAAAGTTCGAAAGGCCTTGCCAGAAAGCATAGCGAACTCGAGGAACCATCGGCAGTCTATAAATGAAGGACTCTCGCCGGGCCAATTAGGAGAGGTGATCACTCCGGTCCGAATTCCGTTAAGGCTGGTGAATGAAAATAGAAGTTTTGATATCTAAGCTAGATAGCATCACAAACATATCTATACTCTAAACATGCAAGTATTTATTGGGTCTGCAACGATGCCATTTATGAATTTCCAAAATTTCCACTAGATGCCACTCTGAGTAGAATCTACATTTTACTGTGAGTATGGGAGTCGATTGCCTTTTAGATCCGTGACTAATCACTGCTCCTGTGATCGCATTGTAGCAGATGTGATGTTCTGCTCCATCTTCCGATGGACTAAACAGCAAATCACCTGAAAAATGATAGAACGCAAAACAATTGTTAGCTATCCATGAGGATATGCAATCTTAATAAGTTGTGACACATTATAGTTTAGTGCGCTGATGGTGTTTTGCCTGGATGCTCACAATAATGTGCACTCTGCTGAGCATACAGGTTTATGCATTTCAGTGGCATACCATTGACAACTGGTGCATGGTGGCGTTGAGAAGGAGCGACCATAATGCTGCAGCCATTTTATCTGGCTTGTTCCATGGCTAGTTTTGCAACAACTACCTTGAGCAGTGGGCAAGGGAAGATTGCTCTGAGAAGTGTTTGAAAAAGGGATGGTTCGTCTTTGTGACACACAAGCAGTCCAAAAGGAATTGAAAATATTAAAAAAAATAAATCCCTCCATACTTACACTCCCCTACTCTCGTCCCACCTATTCCTTTCCTCTCCTTTCTCTCTCTCTCTCTCTCTCTCACTTATTCAACCCTCATTTGAAACAAACACAAATGCACTCTCGCTCTCTCTTCCTCTCGCTCCGTTTGTACCTAGATATTTTGCATGTGCGTGTGTGTGTTCCTGTATATATAATACCATCCCTCGTCCACACGAAACTTTGAGTATAGCTGAATGTAAATCGTGCATTTCATACGTTCGCACAAAAATGGTATTGGCTGTCTTGCTTGCTGGGCGGGATTTTAGTGCCATGGTATATATTGAAGGATGGCAACCCAAGCAGAGTGATTTTTTGGCAAAATATACTCTGCAAAATTGCTCAGCAATGTTTAGTTCATCTGAGTTTAAAGTAATACAGGATGGCCCGTGATGCTCGTACACTTTGGTCGAAAAAAGCTTTATACTATAGTACCTGTGATAGTGTGATGCTTATTAAATGACAACACAAGGAGCGGTATAACGTTACTACAAGTGCAAGTATATTCACGGCAAACTGGGGTACATGCTGGCTCGCAACTGCTCGCAAGTAACTGCCCTCAAACAAGGCCCCTCAGTTAGGTGGCGCCATCTGGCGAATACAAACGAGATCAATCGAATACTGTGACATCCCCCTTGTCACTGAAAACTTTACCAAGTAACCATATAACATATAACATATAAGCATATAACAGTTTCATCTGGAATGGGAATATTACAGAGAAAGTTTCTCGGCCTTCTTCAATCTACAGCCGTACCGGCTGAAGCCTTCACGTTTGCTGGTTGGCTCCTGTTGGGTGGCACCTGGTGGTTCGACGGCTGTTGTCTTGGCCGTAGGCTGCTCATCCTGAAAGCGAACCTGCTTGTGAGGTTGGCTTGACTCCATGGGTTGGGCTGTTTGTGATTGCGGCGCATGGAGATCCGAAAGGTGGCGACTGCTTCGCCTAAGTCGACTTCCGTCTGTCGTTTCGATGATGTATGATCTCGGTTCATCACATTTTCTAATGACGGTTGCCGGTGCCCATCTTCCGGTAGTGGGGTGCTGGGTGCGCACCTGCTGTCCCGCTAGGAGCAGTGGTCGCTCTGGACATGCTCTGGCATCGTAGTAGCGTTTTTGTGATACCTGACGGGCCTCTAATGCGGCATTGATAGTGTCTCTATCTGGAAGCTCGTTTCTGATGCACACTGGTAGATTGGCCTTGGCTTTTCTACCCATCAGAGTTTCCATGGGAGATTTTATCTTGTCACTCACTGGCGTCGTTCGCAAGCACAGTAGTGCAAGATCTGGATCTACTTGGTCTAGTCTAGCTTTCCGTATGGTGGACTTGATCGTCTTCACCATACGCTCTATGAATCCGTTCGATTGCGGATATCTTGGTGACGATGTGGTGTGCGTGAATGACCACTCGTTCGCAAATGCCTTGAAGCAATAGGCATCAAACTGTGGACCATTGTCCGTGTACAATGTTTCAGGGATGCCATGAATCCCAAACAGCTCTTTGAAGTACGCGACGGCGGCCTTGCTGGTGCACGATTTACCCATTGAACGCACGAATGGGAATTTAGTGTAATGATCTGCTACCAGCAGGTATTCCTCTCCATCCAACTCAAAGAAGTCAGCACTCAGAGTGTGCCATGGATGGGGCGGAATATCTTTCTGCAGCAATGGCTCCCTTTGCTGTGACGGGGCGTTCTGCTGGCAAATGTCACAATTTGCCACAAGGGACTCAATGTCTGAAGCGATTCCAGTCCAGTACACGCTGGCCTTAGCTCTCAGACGGCACTTATCCCGCCCTTGGTGGCCGGCGTGCAACGCCGTGAGTACATAGCGTTGCAACGAGGCAGGGATCAGGACCTGCTCACTTCCTTTTAGGATGATTCCATCCTCCACCGCAAGCTCATCACGGAAAGACCAGTAGGGCTTGATCACCTTCGGCACTTGCCTTTGAGACGATGGCCATCCATTGATGATCACATCCCGCAGTGGTGCTAGGACTGGATCCTGAGCAGTTTCTGTGCGCAGCTGCTGTACGCGTTCATGGCTGAACTGGACCAGACTTATCTGGACATCGAGTTCTATGGGGGGATCTCTTCTTCCTCCCAGGAGCCTCGAGAGTCCATCGGCGAGAAGCAGCGATTTTCCCGGCTGGTACCTGATGGTCACATCGTAGTTCTGCAAGCGCAGTAGCATGCGCTGTAGGCGTGGAGGTGCTGCATGCAAGTTTTTTAACTGGATCATCTCCAGCGGCTTGTGATCTGAATGGACGATGAAGGCTTTCCCATATATGTAGGTATGGAAACGCTCGCAAGCATAGACCACAGCCAGGAGTTCGCGCTCAATGTTGGCATACCTGGATTCCGTCTCAGTGAGCGACTTACTGGCGAATGCAATTGGCCTGCCATCCTGCATAAGGACGGAACCTATGCCTTTCAGTGAACTATCCACCTGCAAAACACTCTCCTTTTCAAGATCAAAATATGCAAGTGTTGTGGCTCTGCAGATGAGACTCTTGATGTTGGAGAAGGCCTCTCCATGCTCAGGTAGCCAGCTAAAATCAACATCCTGCTTCAACAGTTCACGAAGTGCGGTTGTGTGCTTCGACAGACACGGCACGAATGGTGCCATGTATGTAGCTATTCCGAGGAACTCTTGCAGCTCCTTCTTGCTTGCCGGCGATGGCAAGGTGCTGATGGCTTCCACTCTATCTGGATCTGGTTTCACACCATCTGAGGAGTAGATCATGCCGAAGAACGGAATTTCCTTGGCCTTGATTATACATTTCTCAGAGTTGAAGACCAGTCCATGCTCCTGGGCAACCTGCATCAGGTTCCAGAGATTGCGATCATGCTCCTCATCTGTGCATCCGTAGACAGCAACATCATCCGCGATGCCCGTGCAGCCTGGGCAGTTCTCCAGTATGGCATCCATCCTCTGCTGAAAGACGTCCTGCGACACGACCAGACCAAATGGAAGGCGTAGGAATCGATACCTTCCAAAAGGAGTGTTGAAAGCAGTTAGCCTTGAGCTGGACTCATCCAGCCTTATTGACCAGTAGCCATTCTTGGCGTCTAGCTTGCTGAAGACTTTGGCTCCGCCAAAGTGGTGAGTTATCTCCTCAAGGGTCGGCGTCTTGTGATGGGGTCGCTTGAGCGCGCGGTTGAGGTCTTTTGGGTCTAAGCATACCCGCAGACTGCCACTTTTCTTCTCCGTAATGGCAAGGCTTGAAACCCAGTCTGTCGGCTCGGTTTCACGCCTGATGACACCCATCGCTTCCATCTTATTCAGCTCACTTTTGATAGCAAGTCGACGTTGTATTGGGTACTTCCGGTTTGGATGCACAACCGGCGGCACTGCAGGGTCAGCAGTGAGGTGGTACTCCTCCTTGAAATTCCCCAGCGCATCAAATGATTTAGGGAATGCGTCCTTCAGGTCTTGTATGCTACCGACTCGGGGTGTCGTAGACGCTGGAGTAGTGTTAATGGCTGACACATCTATGCCAATATCGTCACATCGCAGAGTGACCACATTCATCATCTTGCAGCTTGGGAGGCCTAAGATTGCAGGACCATCAGATTCAGCAATGTAGAAGGTCATGCCCTGCCATCCGGAATTCTTGTACCTGCACTCTAGCCATATGGCACCATGCTGCTTGATTTCACTTCCATTGTATGCTGTTAGCTTTACACCAGGCATGTGGCTGACCTCGGATGACCTTGGATATCCGCTGGCGTCCAGCTTATGGGGAAACATGCGGCGGAATGTGCGCAGGGGTAAGATGTTTCCCTCAGCTCCCGTGTCAACCTTAAGCTTGAGGGTGTCATGCACACGCTTGTTCGGCAGTTGTATGTCAAGCGTTGCAAAAGCTGACTGCTTCTGTGCTACAGTGTCCACCGTAATTTCTACAGCATCATAGGCAACGTGGGCAAAGTATTCATCCTCAGCAGTAATGGCACTAACGCTTTTGTCCCTGCCATGCTGGTCCCTACCACGACTCCAGGATCGACCTCGGCCACGACCTCTGCCCCGTCCTCGGCTCCAGGCATTGTCACCTCGTGAGCTGGAGTGGTTGCGGGGCCTTGCTCCATCACGTGTTGGTGACTTGCCCGGGCATGCCCTGGCCTTGGCCCAGTGGTCTGAACCGCACCGTCTGCATGTAGATCCCTTCGCCGGGTATCCTTGGCTGGTCTTGTGGCGGGTTTCGCCACAATGGTAGCACCGTGGAGATGACTTGTAACCGTCCTGAAAGGCATTGACTGACAGCTGGCTGTCTTGTATATGCTTAAATGCCTCCTGGTGGCCCACCGAAGCATCATGGGCACGACATACCTCCATGGCCTTTGCAATGGTGTAGGCAGCATCTTGTATTAGCAACGTCTTTTGAACTTCAGCGTATTTCGTACCAAATGCGATTTGATCGACAATGCGCTCGTCCTTATCTACAAATTTGCATAAATTCGCTTGGTTGGTTAATCTGCTTAGAAAGTCGTCACTGCTTTCATCAGCCCGTTGTCTCATGCGCTGAAATGTGAGTCTCTCCACCCTGAAGCTAGACTTCGGCTCGATATGCACATCGAATTTTTCCCATACTGTAGCCGCATTCTTTCGGTCTGCCTCTGTCATGTCCCAGCTGTTATACATGCTAACACCTTCATCACCCATCATAAGCAGTATGTGGGACACTTGCTTTTCCGCTTTGACATCCTTGCAGTCAAAATACATAAGTGCTTTTTGCTTGAACAGCTTATAGCTGGCAGTCCTATCTGGCCTTGACCAGTCCATGATGGGTGCGCGAACATCCCCCATCTTTGCTATTCAAATTCAACACTTATCTGCCTCATTAGCTCCTCAGCGTGGCTATTGTCCAGTTACCATTGCGTGGCATGCAATGAACAATGGCGTCATTCCGGCGGGAAAACTTCTGCTGTCTCCCAGGCAAAGTACTGGTCGAATATCTCCAGGCTTGCCGTTGCAATAGGTTCCTTTACCGCTGCCACCATGTGATAGTGTGATGCTTATTAAATGACAACACAAGGAGCGGTATACCGTTACTACAAGTGCAAGTATATTCGAGGCAAACTGGTCTCAGCGTGTACATGCTGGCTCGCAAACTGCTCGCAAGTAACTGCTTCTATTAACAAGGCCCTCAGTTAGGTGGTGCCATCTGGCGAATACAAATAGAGAATCAATCGAGTTACTGTGGGACAATATCATATGATAGCAGCAATTTGCGAACATAATAAATAATAATGTGTTGACGTTGTTTGGCCAAAAATCTTGCAATTTGCTTTTTGTATGTTGCATTAACAATGGCGTCATTGCAATTCTATTTAATGGGATAACTCATTTACGAACAGGGAAATCATTGATTTCACAGGCCACCCGTGTGCAATTTAAGGACGCAATAAAACACAATTTTGTATTTTACATTTATCAAATTCCATCAAGGTTGATAATGAAAACGATGTAACAGTTAGAATTGAACCGGGCATCAGCAGCCTAGGGCGAAACATGTTACACGTCATTATGTATGTGATGCACTGCCAAACCTGTGGTTCTTCTGTGGTTAGGTCATAGGTCATGTTCTATAGCTATTGCCGTCGTGACGTTAATTGATACTGCCCTTTCTAAAAATATGTCGTACCGCATTCCGCGTTCGTCCACTGAACGGTCGTATGTGCCACCGTTCCACGGTACCCACATTTCTGCATTACATTTCACCCTTGCC